GCAGCCTCTTTTGGGAATGGAATTGGGGACTGGAAATTGTTCCTTCCATGGGAAGTGCGGGATGAAGCTTGTGAATGTGGGTTGCCTGGTTGGAGATGCACATGTATGTGGAGAGTAGTTTGGGAATGCTGAGTAGGTAAGGCTGTGTGCTTGCTCCCTGTGCCAGAAGATGCCTGCTGGCCTGGGCTGTAGTCTGTGCATATGCACTGTGCTTTGTGGGCAGTCACAGACTGGCCATGAGGAATGCTTAGCACAGCTTTTGTACCAGAACCTACCAATATGGAAGTCTTTCCTGTTCATATGTAGCACTGCAGTGGCTGAGACTAGTGCTTCTGTCCCTTTGCTTTTTCCTCAGTGAACTGGAAGAGTCTCTCCTGGTGCTGCCCTTCTCCTATGTCCCTGACCTGCTCAGACTCTTCAATGAATATATTCACCTGGGTTCAGATGTTGAACTCCTGTGCCGAGCTCTTCTCTTCCTGCTGAAGTGAGTCCTTTATCTGCCCAGACAGTATCTGGGCTGTCTTATACATTTCTGGGTCTGAAGCTCTTGGGAAGCATCCTTGAGAATAAATGAGTGGCCTCTGCAGGAGGTAAGGAATCACAGCAGCCCACAGTGAATGGTGTGTGGGAACGGACTGATCAGATGCAGTGTTGACATGCTCAGATGGAGTTGCTGCTCCTGGTGCCCCAAGTCTCATTGGTATGAAAGATCCTACATCAAGTCTGAAGTGGCAGTCATTGTCGTGTCCTCAGAGAGATTTTCCCCTTGCACCACCCTATGTTAGACTTCAGAAAATAGCTTTTCCAGATAAATCTGTCCATGCCTGTTATAGTGCTGGTCTGGGGACGCCTAATCTAAGAAAAAAAGTATGTCCGGAACACATAGAGGCTCAGGAGATGGGCTTTCTGATGTTTCTAAGAACAATGCTGCAATACATCACTGCCTGCTTTGTTCCCAGGATACATTTCGGGCAGATCACAGGCAACCACATGCTGGTGACAGTGATAGAAGATCTGAAGAAAACTACCATCTCCAGAGTCAGTGAGGCCCGGGTGAGTGTTGCACCCTCCCCTGCTCCAGGATCTAGAATAACAGGATGGGCCAATGTTTGTGAGCCTGTATTGTCTGTAGTGTCCACTGGGAAAGTTGGTTGGGGGTCTGAGACCATTTAAACCATCCTCCTTTGCAAAATAGGCTGCCTTTTCCTTATGTTCTTCCTTATGTGAGCCTAGCTGTGCTCTGTCCCTCATTTACTCTTGGTTATGTGATATATGTATTTGGGCCTTGGCTCACTAGTTTTCTAAATATGTAGGAGGTAAATAAACTTTCTGTTTGTTTGGGCTTTTCTGTGGGCTGCTGTCTTAATTAATGCAGACTGTGCATCTTCCCAGAGACAACTTCAGGTGCCTGTCAGCAACTTGTCTTTCAGAACAATCAATGTATTATAGCTACTCTTAATAGAGGACTGTGGGGAACCAAGTGCAGGACTGTCTGTTCTCCTACTCGGATGAAGTTTACATTTAAATTATGTTGCATTCTTTAAAGCTGTGGATTGCCCTGGTTTTGCCATTTCTTGGCAAAGGGTTGCCAGTGCAGGACCCTGTGCCCTCTAACAAGCTTGAGATGTGCCTAACAGTGTGGTGCTGGTCTGTCTCTGCAGGATGTGCTGGGATTCAACATGGCAGGGCTCCAGTTCCTGAAGAGGGAGATTGAGGCCAAGGATGAGGTGACATTTTTTGCTGATGCCACTGAACGTTTTGAGGAGAAAAAGAGGAAGAGGAAGAAGAAAGAGAAGATGGTTCTCGCAGTGCTCTAGCATTTGCTGCCCAAGACCTAGAGCACCTGGATAGAGTCATGTAACCTCAGTGCTGGCGGCCATGGAAGTGTTCTTGTGGCTGAACATCTGTGCTGATGTCCAGTGGCTGGGACAAAGTCTGTCCCCTCCCCATATGGTATAACCAGCTTGTAAACATAACTCGGAATGGTTGTCTCTGAGGTGAACTATCTGTAGTCTGTTGCAAATGTATGCATTTGGACTGTTTCTGAGGTGATGTCAAAGGCACATGCTCTGCCTCCAGGGGAATGCCCCTTAGCAACTGAGCTGATTATCCTGTGAAAGAGATCAGCTCATTTTGGCAGCACAGATTCAATGGAATCCAGCACATGGACTGCTGGTGAGACCATGCCCTGTCCAGGGAAGGCAGCCAGCAAGATTTCATACTGTTTTGACACCTGTTCATGGCTTGTGGCCTCTGGACAAAGCTCAGTGACTGCTGCTGAAGTGTGGGAACTTGGTCTACAGCTGCTCAGTTTTTTAGTGGGATGGGGAGAAACATGGCTGTACTCTGTTAAAGGAATATTTATATATGCCCTACAAGACTATTTTGTTCACAGTGTTTTGTCCTGATATTTGTCTAGTAAAGCCTCAGCTGCCTTGCCCTGTGTGTCAGTTTTGAAAGGATTTTTTTCAGGGAATAAAATTAGTGGGAGCAAATGAAAGGGCTGCCACCCAGGATTGTGCTGTTCTGCAGAGCTGGCAGACTGAGCGGAGAAGTGTGGGTTGTTTGCATTGTACTTGATCCAGTTTTTAGAAATTGCACTGGATTGTTGCAATGTTGTACTTGTCCTGTATCAGATAAAAGAGTTTATTTTCTCAGCGGGGGCAGAGGCAGGATAAAGTGAGCAAGGCTCTGCTGCTCTGGTAAGTTATTAGTTTGTAGAACATGCTGTGTTTTTACCAGTAATCACAGGTTTGGTGGATGTGGAGGCAGCTTCTAGTTACCTTGCTGGTTGTTGGGCCTCCATGTCTGACTTGGGTACTCAAAGCTGAATTTCTAACCTGCATTTCTAACCTGAATTTCTAACCACATTTCATGTGGATTTTTATTTGCATCCCAGTTTTTGCTGAGTGGTGTTTTTGACTTAGGTTCTCTATTACTAGCAAGTGTGCAAAAAGCAAACAGTTCAGTTGCTCAGTCTTTAGGCAGCACCTCAGTTGTAATAACCACACCTCTTAGAGTAACTGTTGTTAGTAAATAACTTTGTCAGGGGGGCTGATTGTTCACTTGATTCTGCAGAGTCTGGGTAATTTACAGGAGCATGTTGTACTCCAAATCCAGCAGGTGGGTCTCAGACTCTTTACAGAAGTAGCAACCTTCATACAGCTCTGCCAGATGTTTCTGGGTGCCTCTCTAATTTTGTATTTGTCCAGATGTGGGTGAAACTTGTGATCAAACAGCTCCCCTCAAACATGTCTCCATCCTGACCTATTCTGTTCTCTTTCATCGCATTCTGTTCTTTTTCTTTACTCCTCTCAGAGAAGACCCTCATAAGAGAGTCTCATAAGAGGAATTATTGCAGTGGGAGGAAGAGGATGCACTATAGGATGATAAATTTTGTTGGTAAACTCAGTTGACAGCTGGTTTTCATGTCAGCTGCTGTTGAAATGGGCAAGCTCACTGGGAAAACAAAGAAAAGTGTTACAAATGGAGAAGTGGCTTGTGACACCACATTGCACCCTCAGCCAAGGTGAGTGAGGAGACAGATCCCAAAACCAGGTACCAAAAGGGGATGGCTGACTGTGCCTCCATATGATGTGCCCTATTTACCTTAGTGACACGGAGATAGGTGCTATGGAACCTATGTAATGATGTTTGATGATCCTCTGGGAGGCCTGGGATAAAAAACAGCCACAGGTGCACATGAACTCAGGGACTGGTGAGAAGGTTGTAAAGGTATAAAAGAGTGGCTTGGGATGCAGAGTCATCATTAGGATGACAGGTGTTTCCTCTGCTCTAAGTTGGAAGAGGGGGAATTCCTTCACCTTTGTCTCCATTTGCTGTCACTGGTATTAGGGAAGAATTCTTGGAAGAAAAGGTCTTTTAGGTGGTGGAAAATTGTCCTTTCATAGCTGCTGACACAGGCTCCCCTGCTGAACTTGCCCTCTGGTTCTCTGATTAGTATCACTTGTGACTGGCCTGTACTAATGCAGTACTGGGGTGGCTACTGAGAGCTCAGCATATGCTTTAAATGGAAGAGGTCTATCCTGTGCCAACAATCCACTGATACACTAGAATTCTGATATCCTTGGGTACATCAACTTGCCCTTTCTTAGGTGAAATTCCCTGAATTTACAAACCTGAGCAGGAAAGCAATTGCAAGTACAGGGCCAGCTTAAATCTGTATCAGAATATGTGTCTCAACAGTGTGAATGAGAGAGTACAAAACTGGCATTCACATTTCACACTGGTGAAAGCTATTATTAATCCCCAGTTATGGGATTTTCAGTCACCCTGAAGTGTTGAGAGAACAAGTCATGTGCATGTATCAAGGAAAATTCCCCATCTCTCTCAGGATGTCAATGTTGGAAAAAGGATGAAGCACAGAAAATCACCTGGTGGAAATGAATTCATTCATAAACAGGAAGCAGAGCTGCATTCAGATACACAGATAAGATGGCTCACAAAAAGCCTGAGATGTTTCTCTTAGTCACTGCTGTGTAAGTAGGAACAAGGAGGGGGAAAAGGCCATCTCTAAGTGGCTCAGTCTCCCACTCTGAAGAGAGACAAGCATTTGAAGGTCCTCATGTCTGACAGTGAACAAGAGGATATAAGCAGAATCCCTCTCTGTCAAGTGTAACTCTGTGTACTCATAACCCTCATCTGGTGTCTGCAGCTAATTAAAGGTAGGTGAACACACAGAAAGTTAAGCTTATGATTGTGAAAGCAAACAGAGACTTAGAAGACCAGAGCCGGTCAGCAACTCTCTTAGAGAATTCACAGTTGACTTCAGTGAAACCTGCTACATGCTGAGTACTTGAAAAAAATTTCAGGTGCCTCAGCACCTGAAACCTAACCCCTTTTTAAAAACAAACCTGTTGGGAACCATTCAGTACTGTAGTAGGGTTGAAATACTGCAATCTTTCCACTGTTCGCATTTCAGACACCCATGTCAGAAGTTAATGCAATTTTGGGACCACTTTTCCCATTAATAGGGAACAGGAAAAATATTTATTCACACTTAATCTGGTTAAGTAAATGAAAAAGCCTACACTGGGATGTTTCTCTACTGTTGGACAAAAATTCAGGTATTTCAGTGCTGTTGATCCTCATGTTATTCTTCTAGGGCTCTAACCTGTAGTGAAAGAGGAGAGAAAATTAACATAAAAGAAAAAACCCAAACCAGTAAACCCCAGCTCTACCTCTGTACAGTTGTTGAAGCAAACCCAATAATTCTGTCCAGATTGTTTACAAGTGTTGTGGGAGCACTGTGATTGCTACACGCTGGCTTCAGTATATTTGTCCTCTTGCTGTTGGAAGGGAATATCATGAGAAAGGGTTCTTACATGGGCTTCAACTAGATCAAGAGTTTGCTTTTATTGCACAAATTGAATGGCACAAAAATAACTACACATTCAGGATGGGTGGTCTACTTAGGAATAGCAAAGATTTTCATGGGCAGCTCCCTGTGCAGTATTTAATTCTGAGTACGTTAAGAGAATCTTTGTGAAATGTTTTAAATACAAATGTGAAATAATTAAGAAAATATAAATGAGATAAAACTAAGTTCGGTCAGGTGATGCTTGATCAGTGATTTTTGCTTGTTGCTCTCTACTAGGAGGGGTGGCAAATTTGTGATCTAGTATTGTGAAGTCTAGTGTTGCAGGGATGTTTCCATGTCTCGATGCGAATCACTGACTGGTGATAACCACCTGGAAAGGTGGTTACAGTGGTCACAGTGCCTCTGCAATGACTTAACTGTTTCTATTCTGGATGGCTGAATAAGACTGTTTAACCAACTACAGGACTTAACCTAGGAGTGTCAGCGTTTCACGTTTGGTGAGACTAAACCAACCAGTCCAGAGTTCCTTGACATATTTGAGATGGATATGGCTTTGAGTCCAGGAGATTTCAGGGGGAGTAATGTTCAAAGAGGCACTAGGTACAGTTTTTTGGTAGTATGGGGTAGCTGTAGCTAGCTTCAGCAGCAATTATCAATCAATTCACAAAAGGACACTGTCAGAGCAGAAGGGAGATTTGGCTATGGCCATGGCAGCTCTGATTAGTAGCTAGAGTAGCCATGCAGGAGGAGAATACCATGTAGTTAATTCCTCTCCACTTGGGCTTTTAATGGGAGATCACACTGATCAGAATTTCTCTTGGGACAGGGTGTGTCTCACTAAAATGTGAACTGACTGGGTGACTATTTCTCTTCCATTTCAACACAAAGTGAGAGAAGTTTGTCTAAACTGCCTTCATGATGAGCTCCAGGTTGTAAATCCCTAAGGTGGAAGGCATTAAACTGGATGTTTTTATAGACTATAATTGCATATTACTCTGGGGGTAAAATTCCGCACTGGAAAAGGTAAGAAGATATTTAAACAGGAAAAAAAGCTATATTTGATGTATGCTGGGCAGTCCTAGAGCAGATGCAGCAGTCAGAGGTACATGTCTGCGAAGTTTTTCAGAGCTGACTGATGTGGTCGCTTTTCTTTTTCTCCAGAGGAGAGGAAATGAGATACAGCTGGGATTTCTTTACTGACTTGTTAGATAACATGGCAGGCTTACAGATGTTAAAGTTGAAAGAAAAAGATGATGTCAATGTTACACATATGAAGCAAATGGGGACTGTTGAGCTGAGAAGAAACATCCATAGGGTTCCTGTTTATGAACTGTCACCATCAATTGTATTGTAGAGCATCTGAGTTCATATGGATGAGATGAAACACCAGCCTAATGTTAAACATGTTGACTGGTGGTTTCATGAGAAATTCCCAATAAGGCTTTCTTGTTGTCAGGGAAGACTTACCCATTCTAAGACACTATTAGAAAGCGTCAAAAGGAGGACTACAAAGATGGTGAAGGGCCTTGAGGGGAAGCTGTACGAAGAGTGGCTGAGGACACTTGGTTTGTTCATCCTGGAGAAGAGGAGACTGAGGGGAGACCTCATTGCAGCCTTCAACATCCTTGTGAGGGGAAGAAAATGGGGAGGTACTGGTCTCTTCTTTGCGGTGACCAGTGACAAGACCTGAGGGAATGGCCTGAACTTGTGTCAGGGGACGTTTAAGTTGGATATCAGAAAAAGGTTCTTCACCCAGAGAGTGGTCAGGCACTGGAACAGGCTCCCCAGGAAAGTGGTCACAGCACCAAGCCTGACAGATCAAGAAGGGTTTGGATAATGCTTTCAGGCACATGGTGTGATTCTTGGGGCTGTCCTGTGCAGGGCCAGGAGCAGGACTCAGTGATCCTTGCGGGTCCCTTCCAACTCAGAATATTCTGTGATTCTCTGTATAGACTGATTGAGGCCACAGAAATGTGGTGTATGAAACAGTGTGTGCAGAGGGTCGTGTGTATTTGAATTTGTCACATTAAGGTTGCTCTATCTGTAAGGCTCCTGTCCCTTATGAGACTTGCTGTCAGTGTCAAAGGGTCATCAGTATGACTAGGTTTTAGAAAGTGAAGTGTTAAAGAGAGGCTGATTTATTAGGGCTTAACTGTAATAAATCCAGCTGCCAGGACTTGTTTAATGTGGAGACAGTAAGTGAAGGATTTGGGAGAGGACTGAGGAGGCTCTGCTATGAGTGCCTCCATGGAGCTGAGCAGTTGTAGTAATTTGCAGATCTCTTGTAATGAATCCTTTGGTTAATATCATCACAGTGGCTCCCTTCTCTTGTCTCAGGTGACCATGTCAGTGTGATGGGTGCATGACAGCTTTGCTGTGAGTTCCATGAGGTTTGTTCATACTGATGATGAAGCTAAGAGGAGGTAAACAACTGTACTTTAATTTGCAGCTGGTATCACTGCATCCAGTACTTACATTAACTAGAAGGCTTTCGGGGTAGTGTAATCCGTAGCCGTGGCTTGGGGCTTGTAGGAACTGCCCGGACTGTTGCTGCCATCCCTCCTTGAGGGTATCCTTCTGGGCGGCACTCATAAATGTCATTGGTTAACACAGGTGGAATGTCATGTTAAAGATCTAACCCTTTTGGTACATTTATTTAAAATAACGTGTGGGGGTTGAAATGAATTCTGGAAATAAGATCGTGAAATGTCTTAAATGTGGACTACTGCCCTCAGCTCAAAGGTTAAAGGACCAGGTAAAATACTGGGGAAGGGCATATGTTTTGGAGGCTGGTCTGCAACTGTGTGTCTGAGGACTGGGTGAGTGGGAACAGAACAGCAGCTGGTTTTGCTGCAATACCACCAGTCCTGTCTCAGCTCTGCAATTACAGGCATGAAAGGTTTCTCTGGGCCACTACAAAGTAAATTTGGGAAGTTTCAATGTTGCCTCCGAGCATATAAAGCCTTAATGGAGTTGCTGTTAGCTAGTACTCTGATCGGACTCAGAAGACCCTGAAGTTCTCTTTTCTTTGATAAGGGTGCCCCTTATTTTGAATGAAGGTTCTGACATGTTTGGATGTAGCTTGCCATGCTATTTGTTTTATGGGTTTCCAGAACTCTTCTCCCAGGCTTTTGTGTGTATATTTGATTAAAAGTCAAACAGAACTTCACCCTTCTGAACTTGCCCTTAAAAATGAGCCTATAATTTTATCTAAAAAAATAATTATAGCTTCTGGAGCACAAGGGAAGAAGAAATAACAGTTCTTGACTTTGCTATTTTCTTTTACTGTAGCCTTGTCCTCAGGTAAAGAACTGAAAAGCCCACTGAACCCACACTGGGCTTATTTCTGACAGCATTCATGCACTTCTGTGCTTGCATCTTTGCTGCCACAGGGATTGTCTCATTTGTCTGTTTAGTATTATGATGATACATCATTTTCTTGCTCATGAGGTTGTACCATCGGATGCTCCCATAGATTCAAAAATGTAATAGAGTATTTTCATGAGGAGTGGTTGGAAAGAGTTCCTGTTATTTTCATTTATTCTTTTAAAAGCCTCATCTTTCTGAGTTGCCATTCTTTCTTTCCCCACTTTTCAAAGCTTTGTTATTCTAATGTAAATTGCTTTTGGCATCAGGATCTTAAACTGTTCGTTTGTTGTGCATTTGAAAACATCCATTTGTGTGTTTCTGAAAACTACAGTAAAGCTTGCTACCTCAGCAGCCTGCACTGGAAACAGTGCTTGAGGCTCCTGACAGGAAGATGGTCTCTGGGGTTGATGCTACAAGATATGTGTGGGAAATAAGGCAACAAAGGATATTTGCTTTCACAGGCAGGAGAAGAGTGTCTGTTTCTGTTAATATTTCAATATCATGGGAAACTTCTTCAAGGCCACCAGTATCTTTCCCTTCAATTACCATGGCAAAAATCTCTATCTCCAGTTCAACCTCCAAGCCTGCCGCCACCTGGGAGAGACAGAGGATTACTCAAAGGTAAGGTGCAAGTTTCATACATGTGCCCTCTAGCAGTCCTTGGAGCTGGTGGTTCTTCAGTGTTGTCTGATGAAATCAGACTCACTGCACAGCACATTACTGCACTTGCAAGTTACCCAGTATCTGTTTCACTAGAAAGGTCTGTACAAAACATTGTCATTTGAAAGAAAACTATCAGGTGATCACATTTCCCCCTCTTGTATTTCCTTTTAGGTTCCAGAGGAAAAAAGGGGAATTGGGCCAGCTGGGAGAGAATCAAAAAGAGAGGTGGTTGATGCCCCAAGCCTGTCAGTGTTCAAGAGGCATTTGGACAGTGTCCTTAATACCATGCTTTAACGTTTTTGGTCAGCCCTGCAGTGGTCAGGCCATTGGACTAGATGGTCATTGCAGGTCCCTTCCAAATGAAATAAATACTGTAATCTATTCTAAAAAGAACATAGAGGTAGGGAGATACAAAAAGGATGGATGTGTGGAGAAAAAAAGAAAATGGGAATTATTCCAGCCATATAGCTGGATTTCTGTAAAGCTCTTGACACAGTCCCCCACAACATCCTTCTTCCTAAATTATTCTGATTTTAAGTACTGAGTTGTGGCTAGGGCTCTGGACTAGGAGGTTTGACTTGCATTCTGGCACTGCCTCCCTGCACAAGTCATTGCTTCTTGATTCCACACACTAGCAAAGATTTCGCCTGGTATTACCTGGATGCCGCGGGGATACTGGCCAGTACTATTTATTCAGGTACAATGTGCAGGTGAAGAGAGAGACTGAACAAAAGCAGAAAGCATGAAAGCTTCCTACTTACTGAGATAACAATGTGCTATGGTGCTTTGCTAGATAAAACCCTTAAGGCAGAGAATAGTTGGAAGCAGGAGAAGAAAGGATTGAAGCAATAGGTTCAACTCTTGAAGGTATCAGGACAGGAAATAAACTCTAGGCATAAGACAGAGCAGATATAACAAATAATACCCTAAATGGAGGGGAAAACTCAGAGGTAGTGTTACATTTTGCTTTGAAAAAGCTCTCTTTAACCTTGCTGCTTGACCTGCTGCTTTACACTGAACTTCATGTTTATCCCTCTGCATTCTGGCACAGGCTCTGAGACTGTGGTGGGTGGCGCAGGGCTGCTTGGTTGAAGGTGGCAGAGGGACAGTGGAAGACAGAATCACTTCAAATAACTTTAAACAAATGCTGTACCCTGCCAGCTCTATTCCCAGACAGCTTGTGTGACACGACCCCTAGATAGCCTGAGGGCCAGCTGAGTCTAGAAAAAAAACAAAAGATCTCTTGTGTAACCTACAGGTGCTGGTGTGTACATCACTCTCAGTCCTGTGCATGGAGGCGGCTGCTTCACCCGAAACCTGTCAGAAAGAGAAGAGAATTAGTTTGACAGAAACTGTTTCAGGCAGGCAGAAGTCACATCTAGGAAGTATGCTGTCTGCTCTTCCTCTGCTTTTGTAAACAACAGCAGAATTTGTTAGCTCATCCTTTCCATCACAATGTACAACTTGGACTACAGCGGTATTCCTGGGCTTCTTGCCAAGGCTCCGGTTTCTAACAAAAAAAACCCAAAGGAGCAGATTATTGGGCTAAAATAAGCCTTCAAAAAGCTTGTTAACACTGCCTGGTCCTTACAACAGAATGTGAAACATCAGCATTTTAAGCTTACACATGCAAAGGAAACTGAAGTACAAATATCTTGGCAGACACCTGTGCATTGCACACCCAGGAGTCCTTAATGATCTTTATTTAATGTCCTTTGATATGATTCTATTGCACAAGACAAGATATGACTGGTATGAATTTTGTGGGAATAATCTTTAATTTAATAGTACCAACTAAAACAGAAGTTTCATTTCCTCATTTCTTACTGATTGTTACACATCTGAGATTCAGTCCTTTTGTGCATACAACTTCCACTGTTAAAATTGCTAAAGATCATTAGATCAGATATGACCTTCACTTTTGCATCACTCTGGAATTTATCCCGTGGATTTCATTTTCACTTGAAGAACAGTTACCAGCATGCACTTGTACCAGAAGCCATTAAAGGAAAGGCAGTAGAGAGGCATTCCTAGTATATGACTCCATCTTATGGAAAGCTCTGGCAGACTTATAAACTGGCTGGCAGAATTCCTGCTCTTTCTCTGGAGTGGTGGCTGTTATGAGAAACTGTACTTGATTTTTGTCAGGATCTGTTTGGACAGATAAAAAACAGGGTACTAAAAATTCAAACTAACCTTGAGAAGTTCACACCGACGTTCTTCATGATTACAGTGGTTGCATAGGTGCAGCCTTCCTTTAACACTCCAAATGTCACTCTGGGTGGAATGAGATGGAAGCCATTAAGATCCTGTCTTGTTGTTGCAAGAGAAGATGTTTTGATCTTTCCTGCCACAGGATCTTCTATCTTTGCAAACAAAATATTAGACAAAGAGAAAGTTGGTGGCTGTCAAGTGAAGTTTAGAGTGACTTAACCTATGTTTGACTTCTGTCCACTCATCCTCAAGAATTACAAAAAGACATCCTAATTTGAGTAAAAACTGATGAGGCACTTTGAATATTGTCCGCAAATTTATACTGATTTTGAGTTTTCAGACGTATTAAGCCATTGACCTTTCATGTGGGTGCCTGGTGCAGAACGAGTTTGTCCCAGCAGTTGAGAAGAAAGGTACTTTTAGAATTGCCAGTAAACATACATGAATTGCAACTGCCACATTTCAGTAAACAGATTCAAAGTACCTTCCAGTATTCACTCCAGAGTGAAGATTTTATGCAAAAGAGATGACTGAGAGGATAGTAATATGGACAAGAAAGATGTTATTTTACCTTTTTATTTGGTATGGAGTTTGGTTTTGTCCCCTGAAGGGATGACGGTAATATTACTTTCTCTTTTCTTGTCTGTCCTGCAGCATTCACTGTCAGACTTTGAACTTTATGTTGAAAGGGTGCCTCTTCTGTTCTTGCAGCCTTGTTTAGGTCTGGAAATAAAAGATGTCAAAAGCACAAAAAACTAAGCATAATAGGTGGATTAAATTTGTATTGCAAATATTTTGTCAAAAGTTGTTATAAAATGATAGTAACCTACTCCAAATTACATTCTGGAAGGCAGGTTTACCTGTTGTGCTGCTGGAACTTTCATTTTGTTTGGAAGGAGCTTGCAGCAGAAGGCCAGGCAAAAGTGATGAATCCCTTATAGTATCAAGAAGTTCAGCTGCTAAAGGGAAAATAACAGACTATTGAGACAAGTGTTTTTCATGATCATCATCAGTTTCATAAACATGTGAAAAAAAATCATAATTTCTTTGCCACTTTAATTTAGACAACCTTGGAAGGCTGTCTACATAACCATGAGTTGCTGGGAAAATTCTGCATGTGTCATTTTGCTCCACTGGGCCACAGGGATCAAAAATGCCTATTGTGTGATTAGTCATTTCGTGTTCTCTGGCTAACTGACCAACAAGCCATAAAGGGCTAAAGGATAAGCTAACACAGGTCTTATAATGACTGCAAAATGAGGAAATATGGGAATTAGTGGCAGTCTGATAAAGCCCAATGGATGACTGTTTTTCTGACGTGAATCTTTGCTGTGTATGACTTTTAATCTCAGTACATGATTTCAGTAACTTGTCAGGGCTGCTTTTCATGCAGAACCAAAGTATTCCTCTCAATTGTCAAGCTCAAACATAAGACAATGATTCACTCTTTCACTGCTTCCCGTCATCTAGTCACTGCTTTCCTCCTATATCCTCCAAACTATCCTTAGCCTGCATGTTTCCTATTCCATATTGCTTTTGCACCAGTTCCCTCTTACCACTGAGTTTCAGAATTCCATCTCCCATTTTTTTCCTACAGCCATACTAGTCTTTTTCTAAACTTGGCCTCCTTGGTTCTTGCCCATCTACCCCTAATTATTGTTTATTCCATTTATGTTTTTCTTGAGCATTTTGCATCCATCCACCCCTCATTTATAGCACATTCTTCAGCTTTGCATTCAAAGCTGATAGTGCTTCCACATTCAATGATGTCTGCAAAGGCTTCTTCCTCCTGAAAAAGATACTAAAATGTTGCCAGACCATAGATTACCTCTACTGGGTTTTTTAATTGTGTCTGGAGGGAAAGTCACACTTTCTTTTCTTTGAACTGGAGGAAGTTCCATACACAGTGCTTCCACATCAGGAAACTAGAGAAAAGTAAGAAAGAGGGCTTATGTTTCCCAAATAAACATTTACAAAAAGCAAATAGCAGACGCCCTCCTCCCCTTGCAAAAAAAGAAAGGAAAAAATAAAAATAAAGAGTATAAAGGAAACAAATAAGTAGAACCAAAGTGGTAACTATAAAAATGATACACAGTTACCTCTGAGTCCAACATACATTTTTGTGTATGTTTTATGCACTTACAGCATTTATCAGACAAAATTACAACAGGAAAGCTCCTAAGGTCACCTCTAACTTAGGAATGTTAGTTTTACTAATTACCTAATAATCTAATTAGCAGGGAGAGGTTTTGAGGGATAAGTCAGAAGACCTGAGGTTTAGCTTTGCTCTGAATCAGACTCTCTCCAGAGTTTAATAGAAAGAATTTTACAGAGTTTTTACTCAGTAAACATATACCATCTTCAAGACATGTTTCTTTTTGACAAGGGCATATAATTCCCAGTATTAATTCTGCCACAACTGTCCTTTGTAATGGTTTCTTGAGATAAACTGAGGCTGAGATATAATAAACCCACATCCATCTGTGGGAGTATGGCAGATACTACCTGGCCTAACACAAGCTCTTCCCATTTTCAGCTGCATTACCTTTTTTTCGAAAAATTCTTTGCTGAATTCTGACTCAAAATATGGAAGAAATCTTTTGTTTCTTATTGCCATTAAGGTCTTCTTTTCTTCATCAAGTTCTTTCCTATGTATGATTTTTACATTGTTGGTAAGGGAAAAAAAGAAAAAAACCATTATAACGGAGTTCACCCTGTTTATCAGTATTACACATTGAGAAATGGAATTGGTAAAGGCAAATGGCATTTTTTTCCCCCTGGTTAATCACACATGGATTGATATTCTTGTTACTGGCAATTTTCTCAGTGATGGATCAAGAATGGACTGGTTTGATCAAAATGCATGTGGATAGTGGATTGGCTGCTATGAAGAGCTCCTCCTCAGAACATGCTCCATTGCTCTGAATCTTGTGGAACATGTCTGGGACTGCCAGTAGTGTCTTTTCAAACTTCCAACAAACATTTAAATCTAAGAATTGGTATTTCAGATCCATTGCTGAAATTTTGAACACAAAATTAATCTAATTTCCTTATTTTATAACAGGAAAACTTGATGGCTCTGTGGATACAGAAAATTCTGTTCAATTTTCTGAAGGTAAGATTCACCAGAGTAAAGACCAGTTATGTTCTGCTCCATTTAGCCCAGTTTTACACTACTAAAGTTTCACTGACTTGCAGGGTCTAATATCAGCCATGAAATTATCACTCTTAATCATACTTAATCTGGTTTTAAAGCCAGAATTGCACATGATGTTCTTGTGTGCTGGCTACTCAGACATATGTATTTAAAGTAATTTTTTTAAGGGTATGCAAAATAGTGTGGAATGCTATATTAAAATATAACTCTGAAACTCTAAAAGGTTTTTTTATTTCATGCAAATCAGAAAGTAATTAAGAAGAAATATGGAAGATAACTTAGTTTTCAATTGCTATTTAACCTTTTACAAAAATAAGAAAGAAAAAGCAAGTTTCTGATTATAATATTAATTCATAGAATCATAGAATCATAGAATCAGCTGGGTTGGAAGGGACCTACGAGGTCATCAAGTCCAACCCCTGATCCACTACTGCTGCGATTACTAGACCATGGCACTAAGTGCCACATCCAGTCTCATCTTAAAAACCTCCAGGGACGGAGAATCCACCACTTCCCTGGGCAGCTCATTCCAATGCCTGATTACCCTCTCTGTAAAAAATTTCTTCCTAATATCTAACCTAAACCTCCCCTGGCAGAGCTTAAGACCATGCCCTCTTGTCTTACTGAGAGCTGCCTGGGAGAAGAGACCAACCCCCACCTGGCTACAACCTCCTTTCAGGGAGTTGTAGAGAGTGAGGAGGTCTCCCCTGAACCTCCTCCTCTCCAGGCTAAACAACCCCAGCTCCCTCAGCCTCTCCTCATGGGACTTTTTTACATTATTCTGGTTCATCTAAGAAATACTGAATTTCCTAAATAGCTGTCAATATAAATGAGAAGTATACAGTATATTCCACACTAGTGGCAGAACCAGTAAACAAATCACAGGGCTTCTGACGTCAGTCTTGTTTTGAACAGTGTAAGTTAACAGTAATACTGCTGGGTTTTGGGGGAAAAAAAAGTAAAAGAGAGAGGCTCAAACCATTTATTCAGTGTTTCTGCTGCAGAAAATACCCCATTATTTGCTGGCAAGTCCCTGGACTATTACCCAAGACCTGGTGAAATCAATAACATTCTTTACAAATGCAGATTAAGCTGGCTTATAAAATAAGTTCAACCTACTAATGCTATTACCTGTGCTGTTCCAGTCTGCTTTGCCACTTGGACACTGGTGTTACTCCTTCTGGGCTGAATGATCGAAAAAAAACCCCAAAACAGAAAGAGTAGTGGAAATGAGAAAACTAGCATTGTGTTCTATAAGCAAAAAAAAAAGAAAGATACCCCTGGAAAGAAAATGCTCTTTATGAGAATATGTTATGTTAACACCTCAGGTGACTCCTGGCTTGGACTTGTATGGTTTACACAAAATAGTTTGGTCATATCTGCATTTTTGTTAGATTATTCAATCAAACAAACATTCAAAAGCCTTTCCCAAAAAATTTTAAAGTATGTTTCAGATAAGGAAAGAGAGGCACAGAGGTACAAAATAATCATAGAACAAGCTATTAAAACACTGTGATATATATCTAGAGATCCAGGTCCCAGTCCTTAATGAGAGTCAGTAAAGTACATTGCCTTGCCTGTGTGCTTGGTTCCATCCTGTGTGTTATTTACACTTGCATCAGTTCTCTCTGTTCTGTCCTACCTTAACTGCTGCTGTTGGTCCTCTCTTTGTGTAGTGATTATCTTCTTTGTGTGATGAGAAGCCTGTTCATACAGCTCACTCACATGAGCTGCAAGGTAAAGAGTATTATTGAATGTGCACGCTCTGCTAAGCAGTGCTAAGTGTTATGAATAAAAAACATTGAAGGATATATTTTTAATGCATCTTTCCATCACTTTATGAAAACCTAACACAGACTTTGTTACTGTGAGAGAAAAGGCAGAAATCTCCATTCCAAAATCAAGTTCAGAACTTAGATAAGAAATTAATTGACTTCAGTACAGAAAGGATGAGAAGCAAAGGACGATTAAGTTCATACTCCAACCCTGTATTTCCTGAAATATCTTTATGTTCTTGAATATCTTGAACCTTGAAAAGATACAAATCAAATACCTGTGAAGAGGAAAAGTTGCTGACATTCAGCCACTTTCTGACTGGGAAGCAACATTCCAGGTCTCTATCTTCAGCTGAAGAAAATAATGTGGGCTTTCAGGGACCTGTATTACATTCAGCTTGCTTAACTTGTGCTTAATTGTAGCTGTGAAGCAGCCATAATCAACATTCTCATGGAAGGAACTACTAGTTCAATATGTATAATGGAGAAGTGCCAGTCTTTCTGTGTTTAAGATAGTGACCAGCTGTAATAAAGAGTTGCCCTGTCTGCTGACATATTTTATAAAATATGTTGCTTATTTTATGCCTTGAACCTAAATTGTGAGTCCAAAGAAATTTCCTTGGTTGAAAACAAATTTCTGTGATAAAACTTAGGAAATCTGAGTATTTGACAGATGTGATCTTATTAGACTATAACAATATCTTTTAGTGTTTTAGGAATTACATAAGTTCAAACTTCAAAACGTGTGTATGGGTTTTTGTTCAGCTTTTTCACCATAAAATATATTTTTATCTTTTTCTATTTTAACCTATTTTAAACAGCTTTTCTTTCCCACTATCTTCTTCATTAATAATGTTACATTAAAATTGCACCTCCATTTAAATCAAGAAACTGTAGCAAGCATTTGTTGCAGCAGTTTCCATTTACTTTGCATAGCATGCTATTTTATAACAAGCAGAAATACTCTTGAGAAGGTAGGAAGGGCAGAAAAATAACACTTTAAAAACTATCATCACTAGGGGATACAATGTTACGGATTTTTCTATGGAAAAGGCTTATCTTAATTTTTATTTGTACATATAGAAAACATTAATTAATGTTAAAAAGTATCTTATGAAAATTTTAACAGAAATTCATGAGGGAAAGCTAATACGTTGCTCCACCTTTTTCCTTATACAAGGTTAATGTAACCAAAACACATGATCATTTGAGATCAGATTTTCAAGTCTCGTAAATTATCAGGATTCATCTAGTTGCTTTGAAAAACTTGTCTGAAAAATTGATACTTGTATAAAAGCACTTACTGTCATAGTTCTTATACCTAAGAAAACTTACTACATGTGGAAATGTGAGTCACAATATCAAATACACATTCCTAAACACAGGAATTATTTTAGAGGTACTGAATCTTTGATGCTAACGAGTTCTAATCACATGTAAAATTTACACAGAAGCATGTACACAGCACATAGATGAATTCACCTTTATATTCCTTCTTTAAAAATAATATTACAGTACTTTAAAACTTACTATGATATTTTACAATTAAAAAATACAGCTATTCAATTTTTATTACCTCTATCACTGAGATTTTCAGTTGACTTCTCCCAGTTAGGGAAGGACTGCAATGAAGAAGGAATAGCTGTGATCATGTGAGAAAAAAAAAAATCACAACAGCAGCATCTTGTTCAAAGGATTTCTATCCCAAACAAGTGTTATCTTGTTACCTGACAATGTGACTACAAGAATGGAGGTATTTAAGGATGTTAGAAAACATGAGCTGGGAAAAAAGGAAATGAAGTACAATTCCCCTGGTCCAAACACGTATTTGTTTCCTTCTTGATGACCTACTTCACAGATGGCTTTGTATTTTATATGGTTGCTGTTTATGATCTCAACTAAACTAATTCATAATCAAACTCAAATCCTTTTGCAAAGGCTTTGAACCAGATTTAAAACTCATGGTCACAACAACAAGTCAAACGGGAAATGTGTTCAGGAATTCGTAGGCTTTGTTACTCAGAACTCTCATGTGGCTGGTTTACAGTAAAGTGAGCGAGGAGTAAGAGACTCTAGAGTGTTTCCTTTATTCTCATGCTGTCTCTGAAGCAGTTAACTGGAAAGCAGAGTTCTTGCGACCAGACAGTCTAGGTTGTAACAGAGGTAGGGAACACTGGAGACCTGGAAGGAGTGACACTGATTCCTGGGTCACAGCAGGAGCATAGTGAGACTATTGCTCAGAAAAGAGTTGCCCAATGTGAAATCTATACCTGGAAATGTGCTCATGGTAGCCAAGACAATCAACAATAATTAGTCACTAGACAAGTTCACTGGAACTGAGCAGCATGTGAGATTCAGCACCTGGATCTCATCAAAGCAAAGCAATGTCTGCCTAGAGGACAGAGGCAGGTGGAGTTACTGGCAGAACATTTCTCTGTTCCTGTTTTCAGAGAAGCTGTGACCCTCTTCTCCCGTATACCCACCTTTCCCATTACCTATTCCTATCCTTTTTCTTTCCATGCTCTAAATATCCATGCAAATTAGCAGATTACAGTTTCCAAAAAATATATAAATTCTGCTCAGCAGTAATAACAATATTCCTCCAGACTGTTTTTGTATTATCCCAAAAGCAGGGTTTAAATTCTTACTATGGAGGTGGTTGTGGTTGAAATAAAAGTCTCCCAGTGCAATAACAACAGACTGGAAATCCCAAGGCTGGGGGACATACACATTTCGGTAATTTTGGTCTGTGTGTTTGGAAATGTATCATTCAGTAGAGTCAAACTCTACTCAAAACACTCAAGTGTTTTGAGCAATGCTTCCCCAAACGGCAGTAGTGCCATTCAGTAGCCCACCTTAATACTGTGTGGCTTTGCTTTAACATTAAACTACAGCATAGCTGGCACTGTTCTATCCTGACATTTACTGTTTTATTAACGGACAATGATGTGTTTCAAGGGTCACACTTCCAATGCAATACAATGTTTTTGTTGGAAAAAGTAGTTAAAAATTGTATTTTTCTCACTGTAACCAGTTCAAGGAGACTTGCAGCATTCTCCTTTTCCTCTTCTGTTCTTGGTTCTTTCACATTCATCTCTTCCAGCTCATTTTCATGCTTTAAAATGTTGTCCATATATTCCTGGTGGAACAATGAAAAAGAGCAAGAAAGAGGCAGATGTTTTCTTTGCAGAGGTAGACTTAAGGGACCCATGTACAGAGAGAAGAATTTGTGGAAGTAATTAGAGAACCATCAGATGGCTTGGACTGGAAGGGACCTTGAAGATCATCTAACTCCTTCCACTATAGCAGGTTGCTCAAGGCCCCATCCAGCCTGGCCTTGAACACTTCCAGGAATGGGGCATCAACAACTTATCTGGGAAACCTGTGCCAGTGTCTCACCACCTTCACAGTAAAGAATTTCTTCCTAATATCTAATCTAAATCTATATTATCTATATTATTAAGATAAGCTTAATGAATAAAAGGTGTTCTAACAAATATTGTTTGTGATCCGTATCTCCCTACTGTTTGATGTCTGTAGCGGTTTGAAAGCTCCCAAAAATTCCAATTTCCAAGTCCCCCCACAATTTGCCTCAAATGTGAGAGAGAAGGTTTCAGACAGGTACAACTCAGCATGGGGGAATTATATCAAAGTTTATTACTAACAGAATAAAAACTATAGAAACTAAAAAGCAAATAAATACACAGTATTAATACAATTTCTACCACCCCTGGGGCCCTCCCACATCAGTTCAGAAGAAAAACCTTCAGGGCGATATCTAAAGTCTCTCTCTCATTGGGGTACCAGGGAAGGGGTCTTTTTCACCCCTACCAGCTGCTCGGACTCTGCCGAGGTCTCCTCCTGAGCTGCAAGGGAACACTTGTTTCATCAGGTCTGCATCACGAGCTACAGAGAGTCAGCTTTTGAGTCCTTTCTCCCTGTTTTGTGAAGGTTCCTCACAGGGAGTAAGATTTCAGGGACTTCTCTACTTCGGGTCCACTCTTCCTCCCCAGGTTGCAGGATTTTCCGGGTTTTTGGCTCAGTTTTATACCCCAAATAGTTTTCACCAAAGTCCTTACCCAGAAAAAGCCTGCTTGGTTTGGCTTCTCTCTATCTCAGCTGAAGCATCAGCTTGACTTGCCACATAGCAAGGGGGGGCATTCCCCCCCATTCCTCGTCCTTTGGTTTTCGGCTGCCCTCGTCCAAGCCTACGCAGGGCACCTCCAAGCCCCTTGGCCCGTCTCCGTTTGCCCCCTCCCCCGCCCAATTTGTCTATTTATCTGATACCCAATTTGTCTATTTATCTGTTCTCTATTACTTACTGGATTATGTGATTATGTGACCAATACATCTGTTCTAGAACAAGCAGCAGTCACAAGTATTGAGGCCATGTTGCTGAGAACACAGCTGTGCTGGGCAGGGCACGTCTCAAAGATGAAGGACCACCGCCTCCCTAAGATCGTGCTCTATGGGGAACTTGCCACTGGCTGCCGCACGAGAGGAGCCCCAAAGAGGAGATACAAGGACTCCCTGAAACAGCATCTCAGCCTTGGCCATATTGATCAATGTAACTGGTCTACTCTGGCCTCCAATCGGGAGCTCTGGAGACACACCATCTATAACACTGCTGATGCTTTTGAGAAAGCACACAGGATCACTCTCGAGGAGAAAAGGCAATGCAGAAAGAACCTTGCCTTGCAGAATATACCATCTAAGGAGTCCTGCTGTGCCTTTTGCAACCGGACCTGCCTATCTTGTATTGGCCTTTTTAGCCACCAGTGCACTTGTAACAAACGTGGGTAGAGCCCTCCCCAAATCTTCATTCGCGAAGCCTAGCCACGAATTACTTACTGGAAGAATGAATAAATGTGATCGTAGTACCTTGAGGGAAAGATGCAGCTTTTCTCTTAGTTCATCACTGAGTGGTTTATACTGGAATAGCTGACGGATTACCAGTTTATTAGGACATTTACGCACAGGTACTGGTAAGCACGACTGCTCTGCAGATCCAATGCTGAGACCCTTCCAAAGACATGTTCTGACTGAGGGATCTGTGATCTTCCTCTGAACACAGAGAAGAACAACCAAAAAGAGCAAGAAGTTACTAATATTACCGACTAAATGCAGACATCAGCAATGTGTGTCTCAGCTGAAAAGCATATGTTCTCCTTACAGAATTAAGAATCTAGATAATTAAGCTGGTAGATTCCTGGGAACAATTTATCTAACCTCTTCATCTGGCAAGATAAACTCCCCTTATAATTGGTATATCCCCTCACTGAGTGTAAAAGAACCCCAAGGGGACTACACATTCCCTGACACAGTCTACCCCTTGCTTTGTCTGCTTAATAAACTGAACTTAACATTCCCATTGTTTAGAGTTCCTTCTCCCCACAAGAGACAGTCATCTATTGCTTTAACAGGAAAAGGCAGTTTTGAAACAATCATACCTCAAGAGGAGAAGATGCTTCCTCAGTCCCTGACTGAAGTTTTGGTGGAACAATATTCTCTGGTTCTGACTGAAGATTTGGAGGAACAATATTCTCTGGTTCTGACTGAAGATTTGGAGGAACAATATTCTCTGGTTCTGACTGAAGATTTGGAGGAACAATACTCTCTGGTTCTTTCTTCATTACCCAGGGGGAGGCGTCAGTCATAGGGTGGAGGACAGTAATACTTAAAACACCTGGTTCAAAGACACATTTTACTAAGAATCAGTTCAAATTAAAAAATTATGGACAAGTGTCCATACAGAAAAAAACACTTACCTAAGTTTAAAAAAATCTTATTATCAATTGATAAAACTCTATGTATCCATGGCAACAGATAATATCAGATCACTGAGTTGATTTTAGAATAGCTGGACAAGTTCAGATTACTCTGACCATGCTTAACAATAAACTGTCTATGCTACTTGCTTTGATTCTTGGGTAACAGCTCAGTTGTATACTGTGTGGAGTATCCCAAAAAAGGAAGAGCAGACCACTGACCCACGTTTACTGAATACTAATCTCAGAAGCCGTACAACATATTTAGAACATGAAAAATTCTTCACTGTATTTTATACTTCACAATCTGATCACTGGAAGCATTCCATTAGAGATGATCTATTTCTACTGTTTGGATAAATTTTAATGTTTGTCAAAATATTTTTTCCAGCCCAACTGAAAAACTAATTAACTTACTATTATCTACCCCATATGTGGCCATCAAAATAGATATCACCACTGAGGTACTTTGTCACAATGACAGAAAATTCTGAAGCCTTGTCAAGGCAAATAGAGCCAGCATTGTGAAAAGTGAAGTATGAAGTCTGGAAAATCAGATGTGCTATTATTACAAATGATTGCTGGTGGTAAGCAAGTTTTCTTGATTGGGATTTTCACTGGGTATATATGTTCTCCATCTTTCTCATCTTTTTACCTGCTTTGTCTTCCTGGCTCCCCCAGTGCCCCTTCTTTTTCCCTTTTCCCATAGCAAAATTATTTCATTCAGTTTCTACAGTGGGGAACCGGCCATTATTGTGAATACAAGTAGATTTAAAAATGTGCAACACCTGATAAGAGTAGTAAGTGGGAAAACTGTTTCCTATGCTTATAACATAAATCTTTGTCAAAATGTCTTAGTATTTTACAGCTTGAGGCAAACTACCCTTATCATCCCCTCCATATCCAGGGCAACCATACATGCCTGTCTTTTAAAGATACATTTTTTTGTTAGCATCTACCTGTTCTGCCACAGTGTATTTTATAGAAACACAGTATCTCCAACTAACTTTACAATGATAACCAACCATTTCAGGATGTAACTTCTTTCACTGCTACTACAAGGTGGTTGGGACCACATACTACTGGCATCCTCTATTTCAGTCATGTTTTTTCAGCTTCTTAACATGTATCCTTTCCAACAGACAGGCTAAGGGTCAACATCAGGGTATCATCGTCTTCACTGCAATATCATTAATGAAGACTGTGATACATTCAATTTTTTTTTTTATGGTAAGTACAGGAAATATCCATTTTGGTAATTTTGTTTGGGTGACTGAGAGTGGATAGAGATATGCCATTTGTTTTTTCACTCTTCTCTTAACAGTGTCCTTCAGTTAATTCTCTGCTTCCCAGAGTTCTCCCACAAACTCCTCCTTTCCCATGCTTTGCTGCCAGACACTTGTCTGCATGGGTAAAAACATTTCCTGTCCAAATAAAGTGTTTTGAAACTTTGGACTCCACCTTTGCAATTCTTTCTATTAGTAGTCTGTCAGAAATGAAAAGTTTTCTACCTGGATGTTCTTGCACAGGATCCTGCAAGATTGCAGTGGCAGGATCACTACAGGCCTCAACCAGATATGTGTGTACATCCCGGCTCCGCAGGAGCTCAGTTCCAGAACCATCCTCATAGACAATGAAAAACCTGTACAGCCAGACACATACATGGAACTGTATCAAGAAAATGGAGCTCCAACATGATGACATCAAATGTGCAAGAACAGAGCACTGAACAAAGGAGGAACAAATCTATAAACCCTGCACAAATACTGCGTAGTAAAGAAAAAAGGTGATGAGCATACCTGGGGGCATGCTCATCATAAGTGATGGGTTTGTCAACTTCTTGGAATACTGCTGCTGAACTTCTGTCCTCCTTGTCATCAGAGCAAGTGCTGGGAACACACACATTTGTGCTGCCATCAGCCATGACCTGTAGTAGAAATGATATAAAATTACTTGAGTTACAAGATACTTTTAAAACAGTAACTGGCTGCTGAACTTTAATATGATCTAGCCAGTGAAAGGGACGGAAAAAACTTATTTCATGTTGAGCAACCTGAAACACATAGGAAGAAGAAATGAAGAGGAAAACTGAAAAGACAGTGAAAAAAGCAAAACATTTCTAGAAAGACATGCTGTATCATAAATACTAATACCACATGCTGATAATTAATAAATGCCCAAGGGCTGTTACACAAAAACAGTCACTCAAGACACTGGTCAAGCCAAGTAACTGTATAAAGACAGCCACTGATGTACCCCTCCCTGTGAGGTATACGTGTATCTATGCATATACACCAACACACACACAGAGATGCAGATACATAAAAGCAGGCAGGATGTCCTATTATATATGTACATAATGAGAAGCTTAGATTTGTGAGTTGTTACAACATCACATAAACACTTATCCAATGAAAATGAGGTCTTGAAATTAAAACAATGGGATGAAGTAAATAAGACACTCTACTAATGGAAAACCAATGCAAACTGTTTTTGCTACAGTTGTTCTTCATGTATGCATCTTCTCATATTGAATTAATCTCATCTTTCTTACTAGAACCCATATCCTCTGAGATCACTGCTCCTCAAATACCTTCAGCTGTCCCACAGCCTCCTCAGCCTCCCTCTTTTGTTCCCTAAGTATCAGTTGAGAAAAAGCAGGATGTGCTGATGCCAATGCCAAGCAATTTCTTTGAACTGTAATGATTTTCTAGGAATTGGTATCTTTGAAATTTCTATCCTTCTAGTTTATTAGTTAAAAATTTGTAAGGGAGAGATTGACACATGACATAGATTTCTATAAGCAGTGTTTCTTCAGCCAAGTTGAAACCTATTCTAATGCACATGTCCAGAGGAACCTTAGTGTTGTTTCGCAGGAATCTGGGAAGATGGTAATGATTACAGTTACAACACAGAAAAGATACTATAAGGATGTCACATTTAGAATATTTCATTAGAATCTTAATTAGAAAACAGTATGCAGCTCACAGACACTTACATGATGTTTCCAGAACTCACAACTAAGTACTAACATAGTGCAAAAGTATGCCTTTAGTGTGAAAGGATCACAGCAAAATAGCATGACTTTAAAGACTGGATCATTCCTTTTAACTACAGTTGCCTTACCAAGGCTGGTTAGAGTGTTTCTATAGACCTTCTGAAGAGCAAATATCCTCTCTCATTTTTAATCCTCACTTGCAGAGCTGATTTTTTGATATAATACAAGTCATGCTAATTAAGGTAACTACAAGTGAGGTAAACTGTAGACCACGCGTTTTATTTCAGTCTCTCCAAAAAGGGGGAAATATCAAATAAAGCAAATCCATCATTTAGTCAAGAACATATAAGAGACCTGATTCAAGAGGTTTTCCCTTCTGGCTAGCTAGGCTACTTTAAATATTACAAAGATACAATCTGATTTTGAGAGA